TTAAGTTGGTAATAAATAAGCACAAGTATGAGCTAGTGTGTGTAGAGGTAAATTTAAAAGAAGTTCATTAAAGTTCCACATTTGAGAGATACCACTTTACTAGTGTTTATATATGAAAGGTTGGTCTCTTGGGGTGTGCCCTAAGAGATGTACAATTTTGTTAAAGGGTGAGGTCGAAGAACCACCATGAACAATCACACGCCCGCGCTTACCTTTGATGTTATTCTTCCGTTCGGCTCAACTCGACTCAATTAGGTTTGGGTCTCATTGGTCTTGGGTGATCTATTATTTTTTGATACCATAAATGGTGAAATTTACTTAATATTAATTAATATTGATTGATTTAATTACTATTGTGTTGTAATTTTTCCCAATTGCCTTGCATTCCATGTTTCCCTGCTGACCAACTTCTATAACAACTAGTTTCTTTGCTGACTAAGTTCCATAACAGCTAGTTTTGGGCCGGATCCGCTCAAATCCCCCATGTTTTCTCACATTCAAGTTAGAATTTCACCTATAAATAGAGGCATTCCCGTCTCATTTTCTTCACTCTAATGCATTCCAAAGTCTTTCTCCCTTCTCTCGTATCTGCTTCATCTAAATTTTTCTTTTCTATATGTGTTTTGACTAAGTACCTTGCACCAAATACGATTGCTTTTTTTACCATATACGCAACTGGTCTTTATATCAGATACTGCGAGTGGTATTTATACCATCATCGACTGGTCTTTATGCCATCAAATGGTGTATTTCTAGATCAATTATCTATTGTACAAGTAGTAATCGTACAATATAGAACCGAGTTATTTTATCCTAGAGGTGTTGTGGTATAAAGATCCCTTTGGTATGAATTATCTATTTTGGTACTGTATGTTAAACTTGGAGTTTGTTTTGATTCTTTAACTTAAAAAAATGCTAAATACTCTTTTTTCCCCCTTATTTATACCTCGGGTTCATCTTAGTCTCTTAACTTGAAAAAGACAGAAGTCAACCCCTCATTTCTTTAAATTATGTCATATACGTCTTTTTCTCACTAACAATGTCTATTTTTTTTTTCATGTGTGGCATCCAATTGGCATATTTCCAAACCCAGAAAAAACCAAAAAACTCACATTCATTACATTCATCAAGCCAAAAAAGCCCAAAAGGATTTCTAACTGATTCTTTTGTCAAAGTATTAAGTGATTTTATCAAAGAAATTCCACTGAAATATGATTGTTGAAAATAAAATTCATGTGAGTTCCATAAAAATGAGGGAAGATGATGTTTATGTGACCTGGTAGAAAATATCTCTCATGTTTATCATGATGGATAACAATGTTCATGTAGATTTAACAACCTTTATTCATTGAACATTTGCTCAATTAACAATGTCCATGCATATTTATATTCATAAAAGCAACAATCATGAATATGCAAAGCAACAACAAATCAAAACTGAAACCGAAACTGAATAATGTTTGAAGTAAAATAGCATGAAGATATCATCATCTTCTACATTTGTCTATCACTTCTTAATAAAAATCAAAACCTTACTCGAAATCAAAATCAAAATCCATAAATCAAAATCAAAATCGTATATACAAACCAAAACTGAAATCTTAATCGAAATCAAAATCCAAAAATTATTCCACAAATCGAAATTGAAACCGTACATCCAAACTGAAATTGAAATCATAATCAAAACTGAAACCGAAACCCAGAACATCAAACTCAAAAATGCTTTTTTTTAAATTACTTCTGTCGTCGTTCAAGAGCGTTAATTCGTAAGTGAGTGAAGTAGCAATAACATTATTCAAAGTTTTTAATTTGTTATCCCATAACGGTTCTCCAATGTGATTATTTCCTTTGTGTAAAAATCGAGAAGTATTGAAAGATGTGTTGTTGTTGGAGTGAATGAATGTTGTGAAAGAATGATTCTCTTGTTTAATAATGGGAAAGAACGTGGAAGTTAAGGAAGGTGAAGGGAAGATGAAAACAACTTCAGTAAAGGAAATGATTATTCAACAAAGCTTTGTTAGGCAAATGGAATTGGAAAGTTAAAACTGAGAGAAAAGGCATTTGGTTCGAAAGATTAATGAATAAGTATGGTTTGTATAATGAAGCTTTAATCATGAGAGAGGGATGGGGTTCAAAGTGGTGGAAGAATATTAATGAATTAGATATAGATAGTCATGTTTCATCAAACAAGTACTCAATGAAAGAAGTATACAAAAGCCTTGCGTCGAACGTCCATCATGTATCCAATAAAAAATGGACTAAATTTTCGAACAAGGCAATTCTGTCTAAGGTATCATGCATGATTTGGAGAATGCTTCAAAACAAAATTCCTACAAAAGATAATCTAGTCAAAGGGGGGTGTTGTCTCAGGGGCAGGTCGGGTGTTGTAGTGGGTGTGGTCGTGAGGAGTCGGTTATACCCATTTTTTTTAGTGTCCATTATATGCAGGTGCTTGGAGTCTCATTTGCAAGTGAATTGGAGTGCAAACAGCCTTTCACAATGATGGTTGGAAGCACTTGGATCAGTTTGAAAATTTGGTAGCAGGAGGCAGATCAATTTCTTTGAAAATGATTGTTATTTGGCCGGCTTTTGTGTGGAATATCTGGAAGAATAGGAACGAGAAAATACTCCGAAATGAGGATGTTAACATTGAGAAAATTGTAGAAGAAACGAAAATCTCATCTTGGAAGTGGCTCAAAATAAAGTCGAATATTATTAACGATGATTTAGCTCAGTGGTGCCTAAATCCCAAAGTGTGTCTCGGGATCAAAGTCGATGAACGTTAGTTCATTTGGGATTGATTTCGTTCTGCCGGTGCAGGTTGATTTGTTATCCTTTTAGTGACCCAGAATCTGTTATCATGTGAGCCTGGTGCAAAGTGCAGTTTTTGTTCTGTTTAGTTTCATGTAGAAGTATTAATTTGTTTTAAGTGCGTCTGCTGTAGTTGGTCCTGAGTAGTTGTTAGTTGTGGATTTTGGTATTCAGCTGTTGGGGTTCAGTTCTGTTTGGAGTGTTATCATCCTTTCGTTTTGTTATCTCGCAACAGTGCAGTTTGTGGAGATCTTGTTGGATATTGGTGTTTTTGTTTGTTTCGCCTCGGAGGCCAGTATTCATTTTTAATTGCGTGCTTTTTTTGTTTGATGCTCAATATTCTTATCTGCCTCATTGGAGTCTTGGTTCTGCTATCTGGTTTGAAAGCCTTCTTGTTAAGTTTTTGAGTCTGGTTAGGAGATTGGGGTCTATTTAAGTGTAATTCAGCTAGTAAGTTGTCATATTAGATCAGTTGTTTAGGTTGTAGTAAGTAGGTGGATGGTTTGATTTCTGTTTTTTTAGTTTAGCTGCAGTTTCTATTGTATTAGGATGTTGGTGGTGTGTTATTTTTGGTATAGTTTATGCCACTGCTATTTAATTTAAATATTCATTTTGCTGCTTAAAAAAAGAGAGATTTTGATTTTGCTGCTTAAAAAAAGAGAGATTTTGATGATGACAGTGAAGGTGAAAAATGGATGGTAAATGAAGCCAAGTTGAAAAATCTAAAAAAGAGAGAGAAGTTGTTATGCATTTTTAAATAAATTTTATTTATTATGTAGCATATACGTTTACTTTCACCTTTCTAACATAAATAACATATAATCATTTCAGATTCTACGTCAATGTCACATAGATTATTTTATTGATTTTGACTAACCGAGTTAATATAAAAGATTAATATAAAATAATTTTGTATAATTGAAGAATTAAAATTGTTTATTTTAAAATTAAAAAATCAAAATGAACTCCAAAATATAGATAAGAGACGGAAAATAGTATTTTGTCAAATAAAATTTTATACAAATCATTTAACTTTTCAAATTATATCATATAAGTCTTCTTCATCTAATTAGCAATGAATTTAATAATCAATTTTTGAATTTTTCCGGTCCTAATTAAACTAAAATGATGAACATAACATATTTGACATATTTTGAAAAATTAAAAAATCCATATAGACTTTTTATAAGTAAAAAGATTAACATAGAATATCAAAAGAATATTAAGCCTGAATTAATTTAGAGAAGTGCTAACGCACATTATTTTATTAGTCAAAATTTATATAGAATCTATTAAATCCATACACATAATAATGTATAAATTTCACCCAAAAAAAAACGCATTGGAGTGTTTTTTTCCTAACATTATTCTTTAATTTAAATAGAAAGTAGTGTATCTTTATACCAAAAATAGAAAGAAAGCATTACACAAATGTTAGGTCTACCAATGAAACAAAGTGGTACTCAATTAGCCTAAAATCACTTGTCTTGATAGTATGAAAAGATAAAGTTGCTTAATTATTAAAGTTAAAAATAACCTTCAAATATTCTTCATTCTTTACCGATATCATAAGTACAAGAATAATTACCCAAATGACAAAGACATATAGTTCTATGCCAGAGAAAAATTCAAAATAAGTACATGATGAAAGTGAGAAAAAACCGTGATATAGCAAACACTAAAGCATGAATGCGGTCCAACAAATTGGATCCCATTACTAATAATCATTACTCAAAATGAAGGGACAATAGGGCAATTATACAAAGGAAAAAACATGATCAACAAACAAATTGGTATTAATCCGTTCGCATGCTTCCAACTAACAACTCCAGCTTTATGTTGAAACTGTAAACATGTAATTCACAACCCCTAATTTTTATAGTGAAGATTGTAATTATGAGCAACATAATGAATAGAGTGAAGATTGCGAAGCAAATATTGTAGATATACTTATGCTTGTGGTAAGAACTTAAATCTATAAAATATTAAGGAATAAATTTAGAGCTTCGTCTGCGAGCTTAGACTACAATGATGTCTAGAGTAACAGATAATTATAGTTATCGAGTACTCGTATGAACTAAAACTAAAAAGAAGCATCTTTTCTGAAACTGCATCCACATATCCAATTGGGGAGGATTGGAGAGAGAGATATATTCAATGTTTCCTAAATCAAATAATATAAGATTTTACTAGTAATCAACATATAGTGTTACCATTCTATGCAAGTCGAATGGCAACCTTAATCTCCAATCCTTCTGTTTACGATTCAATGGCTTGCCTTTCTTTGTAGGATCTCGATTCTCTTTAACATCTGCCAATTTCCAAACACATGTCTCTGAGTCTTTTTCGATAGAATCTAAAAAGAATACTCCACCCACTTCACGGAAGTTGGACTCTATATTTTCTGTATAGCAAACTCTCATCGGCATGTCTTCAAATCGACTAAGATCATCTGGCACTTTCAGTATCCTATCAGCACCCGGGGAAGAAACCTTCAGAGCAAAACCGTGTTTGGTTAGGTACTACGCCTATGTTTGATCAAGGAAATCACGGCAAAAACTCATGGTCAGCAAGAAGATACACTTTGTAGCTTCTCAAAATCACAGTCGAAATGACTTTAAACGCATGGTAGCGGTGGGCCACCGAGTTACCAAACACATGCTAAGTCTAATTAGAGGAACAATCATTTGCTACTGAATAAAATGTTACTGGAATAAAAGCATAACACATGACCACAAAGTATTACCTCAAGAGCCAAATCATCAGGTATGTCTCCAAGTGCTCCAACTTCATCTAATCTTTTCTTGAATTCCTGATTGTAACTCTCAAGCTCTTCCATGCTTGGACATCCATATCTGAGTAAGAAAGACGAAAAGTTGAGCACAGAACAAACTGTATGCTTAAGTAATGAACAGACAAGGGAAGGCATTGAAAACTCATAAGCAAATTATGTACTGGGAAGTTCACAATAAGAGTGTTCTATTTCCTAACAATCGTGTAACATTCTGACTCGTCAATGGCCCGTCACCACTGCTTTCAACTATACTGGAGGTCTTTAACTTTTTCTTAATAATAGTCAACGACTCAAGGAACCCGTAGCTTAATAATATGAAACCAGATTGCAGGCATCCTTGCAAAATCTGCATCCTGTTTTAAGCATCAAACCCTAGCCTTAGTTCAATAAGGACTTAACAATCAAGACAAAAGAAAGGTTCCTCATATTTCAGACAGGTCTAAGCAAACCAAATTTATATTGACACTAACTTGGGTTGTGACTTCTCCTAGTCAGCTAGAGCTGTGTTCACTTTTTTTAGGCTCTTTTGACATGTTCTGTTCTTCTATTTGAAGCCCTCTGAGAGCTGGAACATTTGACTAGTTACACATCCCCACCCCCAAACAACGAGCTAATAAGAGAATGTAAAGAAATTCTAAAGATGTATACAACACAAGTTGGACTAATCAAAAGAATGTAATTATGTAAAGGAGTTATACATATGTATACAACACAAGTTGAAATATTACTCGCTTGTTAATTTGTCCAATCTCACGTAAACATATCCACGAGGACTAGTTTTGAAAGCATAGAGTTTGATGTCCTCACTGAACTTCATAAGGACCTCTTCAGCAATAGATAGCGCTCGCTGACCCCAAGGCACATTTTGCAAGGCAACTCCGCCACCACTTCCACCGTCACCAATCTACACGCGTCAGACAGGTATATAGCACAGCACGAACATTTAAGCAATGCTTAACGGTGTTCAATATATAATTGAATTGAAGATCTCTACAATAATCCAACAATAATCCGAGTTAAAGACCGGATACCTTAGGCTCAGCCTCGTCTTCCTCTTCCCATCCATCTGTGCTTGCACCATCATCACTTGTCTCACCTGCAAACTTAACACACTTGAATAGTTAAGATAATAGTTTTGTGAAAATACCAGTAAAGAAGCAAGATATTAGCAAAACAGAATAATGCACTAAAAAAGAAAATAGAAACACCCAATGGAAAAATCATATCTTGGGATGCAAAACTGAAAATTGGCAACTAATTTAGGATTTGTCAGTAGTAATTCATTGCTGATTGCTGGCTAGTAAATCTAGGAGAAAAAAAGCCCTCCAAAACAAAGATATTAAAATGAAACAAAGAACAAAAGCAAAGAAGTTTCTTTTTACAATCATGTTTCTTCAAGTATTTTAATCAAAACAAAAGTTTTGAACCCTAAAACTCAATTTACTTAATTTACTTATGTAATGAAAAATCTTATCGTTAAGTGTTTTTCAACAAAGACATTCGGATCAAAATTCATGCTGCAACGACCACACTGAGGTCACAGAATTGCAATGACTGCAATTGCAATCACAATATCCGCTTACCGTGACTGCATTTGCAATTTAAAACCATGCTCCAATTTGATATACTTATGGATTAATCAATTAAAAACAAAATGGAAAAACAACTTTAAGCATATTCCAGCTTCTGTATATTTACATCACTCGAATAATATGATTAAAATTAATATCATAATAGACATAAATTTGAATGGAGAAAAAAAGAAAGAAATAACCTGAATGTGAAAGTGAAAAATGGCGATAGAATGAAGTGTGAGGAGTTGAGAACGGGAGAGATTGGGAATTCTGTGGAGAGAGAGGAGAAGGGTTTTGGAAAATGAAGGAACGGAATGAGTGAGAAGTAGAGCGTGGAAGAAGAGTGACACCGCCCAAAATATTCTTCGTCTTCTTGATTACAGCTCTTGCCGTCATAGCCATGGTTGATTTGGTGCTTCCTCCGTTTCACGTCGTTACTTTTGAAGCCAACGAAACATTTCATATGCTGTTGCGGTTCACTGTACATTTTGAAAACTGCTGGTCACACCCCTTAATCAATCTAGTTACGCCCCGGGACTATTTATTTAACAAAGAAAAATTGCATTAAGTTATTTATTTATTTATTTATTTTCAAAATACCTCTTTTCTTCCCTCTTAACTTAAAAAAAGTGGTAAGTTAGTCCTCTAACTTTTAAAATGGTGTCAATTGAGTTTTCACCGTTAGTTGTCCCTAAACGTCCCTTCATTTTGTGTACGTGGCAGATGACTTGGCAAGTTATCTTCATCATGTTGTTTTCATCTCCTTCCTCCTCCCATTCTCATACTGTTTGTTTTTTTTCGTTCTCCTTCCTCCTTCCCAATCTCAAATCCCAAAATTAACCTAGAGTTTTTGTTTTTGACAAGCATGAAATATGGTTGTCCGTCCTCCATGTTGAAACAGAAAAGTAGAGATTCAGATGTTTGTAGTAGGCCACGTTGGAAGCCCATATGCCATTGTGGAGACATGGATGTTCTTCAAAGGGCAACTACTATTAAGAATATGAGGAAAAAAATTTAGGGTTGTCCAAATTATAAGGTATGCAAGATTTTTTAATTTGTTAATAAGTTCTGTTTAAGTTACATTTTGTAGGTAACCTCTAAACAATGAAAATTTCAGGGAGGTATGTAAGTTGAGTGTGGTTTCTTTGGTTGGTTCTATGAGGAGGTGGGTGATGAGAAGGAGCAATTCTGGATGCATAGGTTGAGTGTGGTAACTAAGGGATTTGCTGAAGCAAAAAAAAATATTGAAAAAGTGACAATGGAGAATGAAGAATTAGGGAAAAAGTCGATGAAACTTGAAAGTGAAATGAAGAATATCATGAAGTGGAAAAAAATTTTGAATTTGATGTTTGTGATGATTATCATTGTATTAGTTGTTAGAATCAGTTAGGGTATTAAGGTTTGTTTGGAAGTAGTATGTTATGGTTTGTTTGTAAGAATTGACTTATCTTTTGTTTGTAAGAATTAGGTTTAAGTTCAGTTAAAGATTGTATTAGTTTTGGATTGTATCAGTTCAACATGAATGTAATAGTTAGATTCTTTTAATTTTATTTTTTGCAGTTCAACATGAATGTATCAGTTTTAGTTTTGGATTGTATCGGTTCAACATGAATGTAATAGTTAAAGATTAGCTTGATTTTGACACACAATGACCTATAAGTGTTTTATATAACACACAATGATTTATAAGTTCTATTTGGTATGTTTTGTTTTTATGTTTACTTGGTCTGTTATAGACATGTCAAAGTGGGTTCTGCTTTTAACTTGGTCAGCATTATTAAAGATTATGTTATTTTTACATGAATGCAATATTTGGTCTGTTAAATATTAGTTTGATTTTAAGACGTAATGATCTATAAGTGTTTTATATAACACACAATGACCTATAAATTCTATTTGGTATGTTTTGTTTTTATATTTACTTGGTTTGTTATAGACCTGTCAAAGTTGGCTCTACTTTTAACTTGGTCTGCATTTTTAACACACCATTATGACAGGTCCATAAACATTATGACCTATAAGTTAGTTCTGCTTTTAAAATAAAGTTCATAATAGTTCCATAAATAGGTTCTGCTTTTAACACAATATTATGACAAGTTCCATTTCATAACAGGTCCACAAACTGATACACATGTTCCACAAAATACATAAAGTCATTCCACACAGGTTCCAAACAACAGCAGGATACATAAACTTATAATACACATGTTCCAAACAACAGCAAAAAACATAAACTAATTATACAACAAAATACATAAAGTGATTCCACATGACATGATAGCCTAATTATATCTAGAGGTTCTTCTTTAGCGTGGTCCTCTTTGTTGGAGTAGACCTCCTTGTTACTGGGCCAACAACATTCTTGGCAGCACTCAACCTAGTTGTAGGCCCAGGTGGTACAAAAGGTCTTGTTGGCTTCCTAACAGGAAGCTTTTGTGTCTTGCCTTAGCAGGTCCATGTGTCTTCTGAGCAGCTTTTTCCTTAGAAGTATGAGATGCTTGGCTAGATTGTTGAGTAGAAGTTCCCTTAGCAGTGTGTGTGTGTGTGTGTGTGTGTGTTGTTATGTTCTGAGAGGGTTGGCTTGGTTGTTGAGTAGGTTGAGTTGTTGGAGTAGGAGCGTATTGGGCTGATTGTTGAGCAATCTGAGTTGGAGTATGAGAGGGTTGGGTTGATTGTTTAGTAGCCTGAGTTGTTGTGTCCTTACATGTAGACTTGTTGTGTCCTACTTTCTTACACCTACTACACTTCACCATAAAACCTGTTCTTCTCAATTTGCAATCAGACCCATCAATTTCACCTTGTTCTAGGTTCCTCCTCTTTTTAGGTCTACCAGGCATCTTCCTAAACTTGGGTGGTTGCACATCTGGATATGGTGTCTTAACCCACAAGTTTGATCCATTAACAGGGTAGATCACATGCTTATAAACTGCCTTGTACCTTGAAACCCTATAATAATCTGGAATGTAAGTATCAATTTTGAAATTCCTACTCTTCATAGTAGAAAAAGCATGAACACATGGGAGTCCTGTGAGTTCCCATCTTCTGCGTGAACATATATGATCTTTCAGGTTCACAACAAATTTGTCAGCTTGATTTTCCAAGTGTCTTACTTCAAATATATGTTCATCAGACAACCTAAAGAATTAAACAAATAGAATATATGAGTCACATGTTTGGATTGTATGTTATAGACATCCTAAAGAATTAATGTATGCTGATATTACATATCTTACTAGCCAGTTGTTGGTGTATGTGCTTGTGACATCAAGTTTCTTTCTAATATTGGGCAGTATATCATTCTCATCCAAAGTACCAAACTTCATTATGTTATTTGCCCATCTCTCCATCATGTATATTTTGATGTCTTCCAACATAGTGATTAGAAGTTTTGCCCTTGCATCAAGAATGACATTATTAAAGGATTCAGACATGTTGCTGATAACAACATCACATTTGTTTTAAGTCTTAAAGTAAGACCTACTCCAAAACCTTGGTGGGGTCTTCATCATATGTTTAAATGCTTCTTCGTTGTTGGCCCTCAATTCCTTCATCTCTCTTTTCCATGCTTGTGGGTATGTTGACTTGGCAGCCTTCCATATTATGTCCTTCAACATCTTTCTAGGAAACCGCTTCCTAAAGTTGCAATAGCATAACACACAATGTAGCATAACAATATAGCATAACAGGAATAACAGAACAGGAAAAATATAAAACCATAAGAATAAATGAAAAACTTGCCTTTTGTTGGTATGAGATGAAGGTGTAAGTCAGGCATTGATCTTTGCCTCCAAGGTCATCAATTAACAGCTCTAAAAACCAAGTTCAACTATCCTTGTTTTCACTCTCCACAACTACATATGCTCTGGGAAGCATCTGGTCATTAGGATCCCTCTCTATGGCAGCCAGAATCTGCCCTCCACACAACCCCTTGAGAAAACACCCATCTAGACCTATTACATGCCTGCACAACTTAAAACTTTCCTTACACGCAACATATCATATGTAAAGCCTTCTAAAATATGGTCTTTGATCCTCAACACCTTCTTGTACAGGCTCAACATTGATCTTAACTGTTGACCCTAGATTGGCTTTTAACAGTTCATGACAGTAGTCATAGACCCTAGTGTAATCTCCCAAAAAAGAACCATCAACATAATCTCTAGGTGCAAATCTTGCTCTTATAGCTTTGGTTTTGTTGACCCCAACATTCCACTTTTTTTGTGCCTTCTCCTTAATATCCTTTATACTCAACCTTGGAATGTTTTTCAAGTTATTCTTACTTCTTTTACTCAACCACTTTGTACTCACCAGCTTCACATTATACTTTCTACTACAACTGTGTTTATCACCTACTTTCCTGAGTTGCCAAGTGTCTTCATTTGACAACTTGCTACAATAAGCCTCCCACTCACAACCAACTTTATATCTAACCCTTACCCTAACTCTGTCATTTTTTACAAACCTTAGGTCTCTAACATTTTACACAGCATAAGATGTTATTACTTCCCTAAAATCACCATTTGAACTAAAATACATTCCCACATCCCACTTGTAATCTAACATGTCTTTTGGCTGTCTGAAAATTGGATGCTTTTTTCTTAGAACTCCACTACTATCATCACTGTCACAACCACTTTGCATGTCCTCACTGTCATTGTCACTCCCTTTATCTTCTAAAGACATATCATTAAGTTCTTGGACTTCTCCATTACAATCATTTTCATGACCAATTAGGATATCAAGTTCATCCTCCTCAATCTCATCACACCCATCAGACTCATCCTCAAAATCCATTTCTTATGCACTATCATAATTGTATTTCTCATCTTCATTACCATCAGAAAATAAACTTAAGTCATCATCCCCTGCAAGTTTATATTTTTCAACTCCAACATTACATTCTTCCCCTGCAGGTTTACCTTGTTCAACTCTAACATTAATTTCCTCAACTCCAACAATATGTTCATCCACTGTAGGATTCACTTGATCAATTCCAACATTACCCTCCTCCAACCCAGCAGTGGCTTGATCAACTATAACATCATCTTCATCCATCACAATAGTGGTTTGTTCAACTCCCACAACTTTATCATGCAGTTGACTAAGTAACTCCTCCATCTCATATATAATTTCAGCAGGGCCCTCATCAACTTCATCAACAACAAGATCACAGTAGTCAGGTTGAGACAAGGTGTGTTCAATATAAATATCAATATTTTGGTGCACCCTATAAAGATCTGCAATTTCTAAAGCACCATTGTCATCAACAATTGCATTCATCCCAAATTGAGGGTCCTTGTAATATATTTTTTAAAACTCCCTATAACCCAAGTCTTTCAATACACCAACTAGCTCAAAATAACTCCATTTGTCTACATCTACTCTCAAATCATCTACTACTT